CAAGCAACTCCTTGGAGGCAAGGATTCTGGGGCTTCGTCTGACATACTTTGGGCATGTTGCAAGGAGAGACAGGTCCTTGGAGAGGGACATCATGTTTGGGAGGGTGGAGGGACGGCACAGGAGGGGAAGACCCTCTATGAGATGGATTGATTCAGTGACGGGTAATTTGGATGTGTGTGTCAGAGGCAGTGTGATTGGCACAGGATAGAGCAGGGTTTAGGGCTGTTTTCCATAGGGTCGCTATGAGTCACAAACGACGGCACATAACAACAACAACATAGCTATAGCTATAGCGAGAGAGAGAGAGAGAGAGAGAGAGATACATACACACACACGTAGGCTGACAACAAATCTGTATTTCCCATCATGCTGGTGGTTCTCAACAGCTTGTACTTCCAATCGTCCTATAAGTTACCTATGTTCTGTCCTTATGTCTATGTTTTTGCTAATTTATCTGCCTTTCATCATCTAACATTTTTTTCTTGCACGACAATATGAGAGTAGATAATTAAGTTCTTATTCATTCTTTGAGTCTAAGAATAACTTTTTTTCAAAAATCATCCATGCCTCCCCAAACTAAGTAGGTTGTGTCCTCATATAATTGTTGTTGTATGCCAGAACTGACTCACAGCTGACCTTGTACTGGTTTTCAGAAGCTCTGAATCCACAAGAGGTTATCGTACATATTTTCCCCTCAGAACCGTTAATGTGTCTGAATGGCCTGCCTTTGGGTTATCTGCACAATTCCTTACCTACTAGGCCACCAGAGCTTGCTATAAATATTACTTACAGTGAAAAATCTTCACCATAATAGTGAAGGATTTCATTCTAAACCAGTGTTTCTCAACCTAAGCTGCACACTGGAAAAACCTGGGAAAGCTTTTTTTTAAAATAAGTACAAGGCCAACGTCATCCCCAAGGCCCTTCGTCAGGACTTTGAGGGACTTCTTTCTGGTATCTTTAATATGAAGCGCGTGTGCGGGCCAATTTTAGAAGACAGTATTGTAACCCATGTCCTAGTGCATTCCTTAAAATACTTGGTACTAGTCTGTGACAAGACGAAACCGAGAACAAACATTTAGAAAGTTATAAAGCAATTTGACAAATAAAGTCTATATTCTTGAATCTAATAATAAAAGCAGATGGGCTAGTTTATTTAAAAAAAAATGAATGTTGACTTAGAAACATTTTGTTCCCCACTCCCAACAAAGGCTTCTTGGGAAAGCTACGCCCACCACTGGGTTGGAGGCTGTTGGGCCCCTTCTTTAAGCTGTTACTTCATTCCGCTGAAACACTAGGTTAGGGCATTAATTGCTCAGGCAGCTCACCTGGCTTCAACAGGTTTAATGAGCATGAGTGGGTTAGGAGGGGTTACAAACAAGGTAGGAACACATGTCAAGGGTCAAGTTAGATAGCTAGAGCACTTTCGGTTTAATTGCTCTTAAAGCTCCGGCACACTCTCCTAACAGGGAAGGTGAGAGCTGAATGAAGTTTGCTGGGTAATGGCTTGAAATGTTTTCCTTATGAGAAGTGGTGTTGAGTTACAGCGGGCAGACTGAGCCCTGGGAGGAGAGATTCTGCAGCCCCAGCCTGCCCCCACCTTTTCTTGGACTTTTAGGAAGGTGGGCATGGGCACAATGAGACCAGAGGGTAATCTGTTGAACTATCTGGTGGCTGGAATCAGCGGCTCCCAGGGTGACCTAAGGCCCGTATTTACCAGGGTTTAGCCAGGGGCCAGCGTAGCAGGCACAGATGCTGTGCAGTGAAATGCCACGCAGGCAGAGACTGACAAGCAGTAGGAGCTGAGCTTTCCCCTTGGACTGCTGTTTCCTGCTGTGATCAGGGGAGGGGGGCGCTTTCTGGCAACTCTGCAGGCTGCTGCTGCTGCTACTGCCTCTTCTTCAAGTCCCTCTGCACTAAAGGTAAGCAGGCTCAAAGGGAGGGCAGGCTGCGAGGGGAAGCCGTAAGATGAACAAGATCCGAAAGTTTTTCCGAGGAAGTGGGCGAGTCCTGGCATTTATATTTGTAGCTTCTGTCATCTGGCTGCTCTTTGACATGGCAGCTCTCCGCCTTTCATTCAGCGAGATCAACACTCGTGTCCTCAAGGAAGACATCAGGAGGGAACAGACAGGATTCAGGGTCCAGCCGGACCAAATGAAAATCTTCTACAGCAAAGGAAAAGAGACAAACCCCCCACTGAGGGGAAATAGGAAAGGGATGTGGGGCAAAGAGAACTTTAGAAAGGCTAAGGACAGTGGGCACAGAGTTGGGAATGCTTTGGCCCAATCCCAGAGAGAAAGAAACGTGCAGAGTGGCCCAGAGCGGGGCAAAGTTGTGCCTTTGTGGCATCCTGCACGTCTGCAGACACTCCCGGAGACTCTGACCAAAGAGAAGCAAGAGATTCAAGATCGCAAACAGGAAACTTCTCACCAGGTGCGACCAAAGCAGACAACAGCTCAGGGGTCACAGAAAACCCCAATCCAAACTTGGAGAGTAACTCTATTGGCCAACGTTTCTGTACACACAAGTTCTGTCCTTGTCAACCAGGACAAGGTCCTGAAAAGTCATACTCTAAGCAGTGACACATCAAAACAAGTGGTTGAACAGGATCTGAACGTGACCATCAGGCTTGATAGTGACAGACCAAAGCAGCAATCCCTGGTAATGCCAAATAAGAGGGCACTTCCTGCCAGTGGCCCTGTGCCAAAGCCAGGGGCAAATTTAGCCTTAAATAAAACTGAGGTGCAGAGCGAAGAACTAAATGCAAACAAGCACAAAGTCAGTAAAGGTCTTCCCTTCTTCAAGTTCACTGCCAATTCAAATCGATTAAAGAAGCAATCTATTAATGAGACACAGTTGGGAGACCTGCCAAAGGGAGATGGACGCAAAGTGTCTGCTGGGACGAAACTCAATTTCTCTGAAACCCATGTAGTGATTATAACAAAGGACGAGGAGCTAAAGACAGATATCAAAGAGGTCAACAATTCTGAAACCAAAACTGTATTTCCAAAAGTGCTGGGTGAAAGCCAAGAGAAGCATGTTTCTAGGAATAGAAGTGAGGCCTCTTTCTTCTCACTTGAGCTACAGAGAGCAGCGATGTTGTCAACCAATGAATCCTTAGCAGAGAGACGAGTGCCAGTAAAAAGCAACTTAACTGGCAAGGCCCAGCCTGCAGAGAGGAATCAAAGTCACGTAAAGGCGCATTTACCTACAGACCACGGGATGCATCCTGTGTTAAAAATTGACATGACACTTTCTCCAAGGGACCCCAAAGCACCAGGCCAGTTTGGACGTCCTGTAGTTGTTCCCCGTGGAAAGGAGAAAGAGGCAGAGAGAAGATGGAAAGAAGGTAACTTTAACGTCTACCTCAGCGATTTGATCCCAGTGGATAGAGCCATTGAGGACACAAGGCCTGCTGGGTAAGATCCCTTTCTCTTTTCTTTCTCAGCTTCAAGTATTTAGGTTGATATTTAGATCTAGATTCTTGGTCACCTAATAACAACGACAATTAATCATTAGATTAATTAGATTTGGTCACCTAATTAATCATTAGAGAGCTCTGGTGGCCTAGTGTCAAGAACTTGTGCTGCAATCCCAAAGGCACATGGTTCGAGGCCACCAGCAGCTCTGCGGGAGAAGAATGAACAATCTTCTCCCATGTACTAAATGCCTTTGAAAATCTGCCGGAGGTTCAGCTATGGGTCAGTTCTGACTCTACAGTACACAACACAACAATTAATCATTAGACACTGCTCAGTTATCTTACCTACCACTCACACAGAAAAATTCAAGTAGCAGCCTACCCAAAATATCCACTTTCTCCTCATCTCAGAAACTTTGGCTTTAGGCCCTGTTAGCTCATACATCATCTCCTTTCACTAAGACAATTAAATAAACTCAATTCACAGTTAGATATATGTGAAAAGCAAAGTTTAAATTGTAATTCTATCATTTGTTGATGCTACACGATTGAATGTATTCCAAATTATGATGACCCTACTTGTGCAGAGGATTCTATTTTAACCATGATAATAAAGTGAATTTCCAATGTTGGAACTTTTCATTGCTATAAAGTTTGCCAGGAGTTTATTTGTGAAAGGAACATAAGCAAGGAGACTTCTAGGTCCCATTGAAGTTATATATTAACCATAAGAATCCATACTAATGTTGAATAATAATGTGCAAAATATCACGCTATTTTACTCCTTAAAAATGTACCTCCTTTGTAGATGAGGAGGAAGAGTAGACATTTCTAGGGTTCAGGAGGATTAATGTTGGAAATATCAACCAGTGAGTAACTAGCAGATGTTCACAAGGGATGTTTTTACTTGCAAATAATATAAGCATTTACAAAGAGTCTGCATATACATTAGATGGATTCATAAGAGCTCTCAAAAAGAGGTAGCAGGTGTAAGGTTTCAAATTAACGTGTGGTGGTGCTTCAAGGTAGGCCGCTTTCCAATCCTGTGCTGCTCTAAAGCTACCCAAGAGGCTCTCATGGACTCACTCTTTAGCGAATCCAATGACTATAACTAGGCAACCAGAAGTTGAGTCCAGTCTCAAATATTTGATCTGAATAAATTATATTTGAGTTCTCTCTTCTTTTTGTGACCCACTAATATGTGAGTGGACTTTGAAGCTGTACAGTGTTACTTTATTAGTTGATAACAGTAGGGAGCTCTGGTGGCCTAGTGAAAAGAAGCTGCACTGCAATCCCAAGTTCGAGGCCACCAGCTGCTCTTTGGGAGAAAGGTGGGCAATCTCCTCCTGTGAGATTAACTGCCTCTGAAAACCCACAGGAGGGCCACCTATGGATCAGTTCCCACTCAACGGCACACAACAACAACAACAACAACATCTCAGTTTATGCTTTGCTATTCAAAGCTATATTGGCTTGAAAGTCAAAATCAGAGGTGTCAAGGTCCAGCTCTAGCACAGGCGCTATAAAAACGCTAGCTTATTTTGTTCATAGTTACTAGGAGCTGTTATAAGTGGCTTTTAAAAACCAGAAGTTTATTTTTCTCACAGTTCTAGAGGTTAGAAGTTCAAATCAAAGGCCTGACAATGGTGATTCCTTCTGTGCAGTCCTTCTTCTTTTTCTGGCGTTCTGGGTGTGATGGCAAAACCTGCAGGGAATCATGCTCCTGACTCAAAGTTGACACCTCTCTGACTGGATCCACCCCTGACTCTGAGAAGAATAAGGGCAATCGACTCTGGAGGGTCAGCTATAAGTTAATTCTGACCTGACAATGAGTTTTATGTTTTGAGAATTGTAATCCTTAGATTTCCTTTGCTTCTAGGTGCATCATCTTGTATTATCTATCTTCCCTCTATGACCATCTCTGTGTACTCTGCTTTTTTATAATTCAGACAGGTTAGGACACCTTAGATCATATTAGACCTTATTAGCATTATTGTTGTTATGTGTTATGTGCTGTCGAGTCACCTGCGACTCATAGCAATCCTATGTACAATAGCCCTAAACCCTGCTCTCTCCTGTGCCAATCCTATTTATTGTCTCTGACACACCTACCCCTGTTACCCCGATCACTGAATCAATCCATCTCATTAAGGGTCATCTTCTCTTACACTCTTCCTCCACCCTCCCAAGCATGATGTCCCTCTCTAAGGACTGGTCCATCTCAGCAACATGTTCAAAGTATATCAGATATAGCTTCAGAATCCTTGCCTCCAAGGAGTAGCCTGGTTTAACTTCTCCTGGATGAAATTGTTTGTTTTTGTAGCAGTCCATGGTATATTTAATACTTTTCTCCAACACCCCAGCTCAAAAGCATCATTCTTCTATCATTCCTAGTCAATTGTCCAGCTTTCCGTTGCATAGCAAGTAATTGTAAAGATCATGGCCTATATCAGGCACACCTTAGTCTCCAGAGTGACATCATTGCTCTTCAGTACTTTGGAGAGGTCTCTAGCAGAAGACTTTCCCAAAGCAGTTCGTCTTTTAATTTCCTGGCTGCTGGTGCCAAGAGTGTTGATTGTGGAGCTAAGAATACTGAAGCTGTTAATAATCTCAAACCCTTCACTATCCATCATGATGTTGCCAATCAGCCGAGTGGTAAGAATCATCGTTTTCTTGATGTTGAGTTTTAACCCACATTTAAGACTTCAGTCCTTGATCTTCTGCTTCAAGCTCTTCAGGTCTTCCTTAGTTTCAGCAAGAAGGATTGCATAGAAAAAGAAAAAATCCTGTTTCACAACTAGATCATGAGCATAGGTTCACAGACATATAGGTTCAGGACATATTTTAAGAGGCACAGCTTCAAGCATCACATGTGGTTTCTAGTGAAAACTCTTCTTTTTCCTCTATAGTCAGTTTTTCAGAGATAAGGAATATACAGATAAATCTTTTTAAATATATATTGATAAGGAGCATCTTTATGACAGCAAATATTATGATATACATTTCATTTCCTGTAACTATTGGCTCAGTCTGTTTGCATCAAGTCCTGTCCTAGGTCATTCATATGTTTTACCCTGGTAGTGTTTACATCCTAGATAAGAGTACAGAAACATACCCAAAATAAAAGATGAGGAAACAAAAACCCTGGAAACTTAAACTATTTGTGGTCATAGAGCCAACAATTGTAAAAAAGTAGTTCGAGCCCAAGCTCAAAATTATGCTGTGCTGTCTATCTTCTCTCTCTTACTGATCATACCAAAATGAGATCCTAACATGTGATTTTAAATCTTCTATATAGGGAGCTCTGGTGGCCTAGTGTCAAGAAGCTGCACTGCAACCCCAAGGCACGCAGTTTGAGGCCACCAGCTGCTCTGTGGGAGAAGGATGGGCAATCTCCTTCTGTGAGATTAACTGCCTCTGAAAACTCTTTAGAGGGTCAGCTATGGGTCTGTTCCGTCTTTAGGGTACACAATGACAACAACATATCATAGAACACGTATTACAGTTTTGAACACAAAGTGCAGAGGAAAGGAGGTAAAGCAACTTCGTGTTAACAGCCCCATGCTGGCCCAGTTGAGTTTTGTGGAGTATAGGAAAAGAATCAGATGCTGAGGGCTGCAGTGCCCATTTCCAACCAGAGAAAGGGCAGTTATGTGAGGGCCAAAAGCAAGGGGGAAATTATGGTATCATTTATGTGATTTATTGGAGGCAAAGTGGCTCACAGCATTTATTAGTTCCTGAAATTTGATCCATGGAAATGAAAAAGTTTCAGCAGGGCAAGGTTAAAGTCAGGCTCTGTCTTCTGGTAGAGGTTGTCTGGACTGACATGTGCCCTTGGGTCAGAGCATATGGCCAAGACCCCTCCCTCTTATCACATAACTCACCTTGGCTAAACATGGGTGTGCTCTGAGCTGCCTCCCTGATGCTATCTTCTCCCAGCAGGATCTAGGTAACACTTTCATTGCCAGTGATATATACAAACCTCAACCCCTACTCCAGACATATTCATAGCCCTACTTGCCAGTCTTTTTTGAAAGAGGGCAAATTGTTTGTTTGGCTTTTTTTCCTTTTTGTTTTTTCTTTTGTTTTCACACACAGAAGCTTCAAATAGGGACAAATTGTGGATTTTTATGATTAAAGAGGATGGAAGAAAATTACTTCGTTTTTCAGATTGACAGGAACAGACTGAAGTTCTCTAACTTAGAGTTCATTTTTGCTGTGCTTTGCTCAAAAGTATGTGAGGTGGTTTATAAGAATACATACAGCAATATTTTGCTTTTAAATAATACATTTTAAAAATCAGTATAAAGGGTAAGTTGCTATTGTTGTTGTTGTTGTTATGTGCCGTAGAGTCGTTTGCGACTCATAGCAACTATGCACAACAGCTCTAAACCCTGCTCTATCCTGTGCCAACCGCACTGCCTCTGACACACCCATCTCGATTACCCCAGTCACCGAGTCAATCCATCTCATAGAGAGTCTTCCCCTCCTGCGCTGTCCCTCCACCCTCCCAAGCATGATGTCCCTCTCTAAGGACCCGTCCCTCCTGGCAACATGTCCAAAGTATGTCAGACAAAGCCCCAGAATCCTTGCCTCCAAGGAGTAGCTTGGTTTAATCCTCTCCAAGATG